TTTGGGACGAGGCAACTTCTGTGAATCTCTGGTGTCCCTTTTAAGCCATATGCTATAAATCCATTCCTTCCCCTTTCACTTTACTCAGAATTAATAAAACCCACACGCCATTATATGTAAATATCTTCTTTTCCGACTTTTCTATACTTATCCTGTTTTCTACTTTTCTTTTATTGGTACAATACTAATTCCATGTATGGATGTAAATCCAAATATCTGTGAAGATCATGTCCTTTTTAATATTAAATTAATATTTTCCGATATATTAGAAAATAACATTATACTAAAAGATACAAATTTAAAAATTATAAAACATGATTTAAAAATACTAAATATTATTTCGATCAGATTTCTTAAAGACACATACCGTAAATTGAATACTCCATTTTTATTTTAAGGTTCATTACCATGATATATAAAATCTTAGGGACAATATCACACACCTCGAAATGGAGCTAAAAATTGGTGTTTATTAGGACATCAATACTCTGTTAGAAAATACTTACCTAATTGTATATACAACACATATAAAATTATAATAAAAAATTATTATTAACAAAACATTTACCTTGGGACACTTTAAGTTCATTTCTCCTTGTCAAAACATTACTTAATAACTTGGAATCATGAGTTGAACTCTCTCACCGTTGAGAACATACACGAATTTCAAATCAAAGTTACAAGCTACTAATACATTTTGTGATATATTTACATGACGATTACGATAATTGTTTATATATATCTTGTCCCCTCACCATTACCAAAATATGAGTAGTATCAATAGCTTCGATGCAATCTAAATTTCGTTTGTATATTATTAAAGTTCAATCATTATAGTTTCACTAAAATATAAATCAAATACTTCAACCAAAATACAATCAGGATGTTGACACTTAAAAAAATATAGTTCAACAGAGTATTAATTATCCCAACTTGAAGTTTATCTAAAATGAACATTCTTCTAATGACATCTTAAAGAAAGTGTCCTTTCTTAATTTGCTTTAGTATCATTCTCTTTTGCCTTTTTCTCTTTTCTTCATGCTTTTTTTCCCCTCTTTTCTCCAATATGTTAGATATTTTTTCAAAATTGACAACAATAGTCTCGATGCTAATAGAAAGAGTATATAGAACTTTGACATGATTATTGGTATCAACTGAATTAGAACTCCCTCCACACTTAGATCTAATTCTCTTTTGACAAATTAATTTTTCAATGGAACCTCCAAACTTAAAATGGGATTAAACAGTGGACTACCTTCTTCTGATGGTAAAGGTAGGATGGTTCTTAGTTATCTAATTGATAAATTACACATCAATATTGATAGATAAAAATGTAACAAAAAATATTGATGATTAAAAAAGACAAGAGAAAAAATAGATAGAGAAAGAATAACAAATAAATAAAAGAGATGAACAAAAAGAGAAAAATAATATGAGATAAATAATACATGAGAAGAGGGAGAGAGAAAGAGAGGGGAGCAAGAGAGAGGGAAAAAATTAGATAGGGAAGAGAGAGAGAGGAGAAATAGGAGAAAAGAGAAGATGAGAGAGAGTGAGAGAGGAAAAAGAGAAGAAAAAAGGTGAGGGTCTGAGTGAGCAAAATATGAGGAGAAATAAACGAGGAAAAAAGGTTATGCGAAATCTCAAGGTTTTTGGTGAGATTGTTAGATGAGTGGATTATATGTAAATTTTACTAAAAAAAATCTCATAAAATTGATCTTTCAAAATAATTTATTGAAAACTCTATGTTTTTAAGTGAATTTTTTTTAATTGAATATACCACAAGATTTTAACGTATATCTAAAAAATCTTGATTGCTTTAATTGAATATCACTAGATTTTGATATACTCTTAAAAAATCCACTTTTTATAATAAAAAAAAGTCTTTTAAAATCTCAATCCAAGTTTTACTATTTCCATTCTTGTCCATATTTTCATATCCTGTACACATCCCTTCCTAGTACTCGACGAGTATGGGATTTGTGTTCCCATATCCATTTTCATTTGGTAATTGATATATCTGTATTATCCAAAAATTAATTAAATAATTTTTAAAAAATATTAAAAACACAAAAAAAATTAACATAGAATAACAATTACAAAATTATATTAGTTAAGTTTTATTTGATATAAATTTTAAATAGAGAAAGAATTACATATATGTCAAACAATTTTTTTTAAATTAATTAAATTTTTAAAAAATTAAATCGAGTACAAGTACAAATACGAATATGAGACCGATATGTGTATACGTATCCCCACTTCTAGATGTAATTTATTAAATCAAATATTATTCATACTCAATCAAACCATATATTTTATGTCAAAGTTTAGACGAGTTCAAATATTACTCATAAATTTAAATTTACTTCTTATCTTTATCACTAATCATGAATGATATGCCCTTTATACTCTTGAAAACCCACCCTACCAATGTTATAAAAAGAACCGAAGCATGTAAGGAAATACCTTTAAAAAAGAAAATTATATACAAATTAAATTCTGAAGCCCTTATTTTTGGAGTATATATTATTATTTTTACTTTTGTGAAACATTGAGACCCTTTCCTTTTTTTTTTTGTCATCTTAATAGTTAACAAAAATAAATTTCAAATATCAATTATTATAAAATTTTAAAAAGTAATTTAAGAAGAATGAAAAAACGTTAAAAGATTAATTTAGAGAAAGAAGATTAAAAATAGAAAAAAAACAAATGAATTAAATATCACAAAAGGTGATATACAACAAAAAAGATGAACCTGGTAAAAGGAAAGAAAATAAAGAGGTATTGAAATTTGTAATTTTCACTCCTTATATTTATTTTGAACATTGATGGCTGCAATGTAGTTAAAATTAAAAGATATTGTATAGCACATAAAGAAACTTTTTATATGATTCGTTGAATAAAATATTTATAACAATATTATTTTTTAAAAAGAAAAATAATTACCATTTTAAAATTAGTATGTATACTTATTTTTTATTATTATTTTAATTACATAAAATAATATAATAATTACTTAAAATATATATGTTAAAATAATTGGATTTTCATACATTAAATTATCAATAGTGCGTTATTATCATTCATATATATATATATATATATATAATATAATACTGTGAGTTTTTATTGTTTATTATCTTTTAATAATAATTATGTGTTGAATTGTTTTCAAGATGTTGAGAGGTTTTGAGAATTAAAAAACTTTGAGAGTTAAAAAAATTATGAAAAGTCTTTAAACATTTTATTCATATAAACATTAATTTATAATTATAATTAAATAAAAATAATATAATTTTGTGAATTAAATTAAAAAAACGATGAAATTTATAGAAAAAAAATAAATATGGTAATATCATGTCATATTTACTTACTTAATAAAACAAATTTTAATTATTTTAATAATAACATTAAATAATAGCATGCGTAATTCACATACACGTACACAAAAATCTTTCCGCGAAAGTTGATGGACAGAGATTCCAGTAATAGATAGAGACAGTGTTTGTTTTCAAATTTTTATACTTATTTATTAAAGATCGCCGTTTTTTAAAGCTTATGGATTTTTTTATTTTATTTTATTTTTATATAAAACCTAATGTGGTACTAAAGGAACACAAATTAAGTAGATATTTATATATTCAATGATAGAAATAAAATAAAGATAATTTTTTATGTAAAAAATAAAAAATAAAAGTACAAAGATTTTAAACTTATATTGTTTAACTATGGCAACCCATAACTTGATTAAGTGTAAAAATACTTATAGTCTCATAAATTCCTGCAAGCCGATATGTTCTTGGTACAAAGACAGTAAAAAAAGGAAAGAATAAGAATTAGAAGTGCAAATCACATTGATCATGTACATAATTTCAATAATCTATAAAGACTCTTTCATTAATTAAAGCAATTAAACCGAGTAACATATCCTCCCAATATACATCTTTTGTGTAGTAGCAAAAATATACTCATACATGTGGTAATACTCGAACCCGTCCCGACTTTAAAATAACTAATTTGACCGGGTACAAATACAGGTACAGATAAAATCCGATACTTTAAATTGGGTACGGGTACAGATATGTACTTACCCGTCCCGTACCCGTCCCCGTCCCCATTCCCATTTTTAATTTAATACCCACTTTTAATTTAATTATACTAAAAAAGTTTAATATTTTTTTATGTGTGATTATTTATTATAATATGAGATAGAGAAATAACTTAATTATAATTATAATATAATAAAAAAAATAATTTAAAAATATCTTATTTTTTTATAAAAAATAAAAAATTAACGAGTACGAGTATAAGTACGGTACAGGTATACCCGATACTTAACAGAAACGAGGATGAGGATGAAAATCACATATTCAATGGGTACGAGTACAGGAAAAGGAATGTGTTTAACTCGCGAGAACAAAACATGTATCATGAAACTCGTACTCGACCCGCCCCGTTTTCATCCCTACTTTTGTTAACAATATATAAAAAAAGAAGGTAAACAACGCTGGTCTTCCAATAACAAAGCTTTTCCTTTTAACTTTAGCCTGAGAGTTCAGAGTAGTTTTCATAATCTAATTTCAACGTTCATTAGCAGTCGAGAGAGAGAAGCACAAGAAATTGCTGTGATTTGTACAGAGGTCAAAATTGAGGTACTTTTTATGTTGCAAATATACATATACATGTGTATACATTTCAGAACTAATTAAGTTCAATTTAATTTGTTAAAAAAAATTACACTTACAATTTTTTTTACATTCTTTTAATAAGTAATTATCTGTTAATATAAAATTTTTTACACCGACAATTAATCATATTTTTTAATAATGCATGTCATTTGCTCATTTAGTCAAATAAAAAAAATAAAATAATTTAAAAAATATGATTGGTTATCAGTTATACTAGTAGTATATAAATGATTAATTCTTCTTTTAAACACATGGCATATACTTTAATATATGAATATGAAATGTAAGCAGGAGTATGGTTCCATGTGTATGGTTCGTGTGATGGTTTATCATCTGGTTCCAGTATCGAGTACCTACTAACAGTAGAAGCCGCCAACACTTGTAAATTCTCCCGTGGCTTCCTGCTATTTTTCCACACCCAATACTTTTCAAAGCATTATACTCTCACACTGTCACACATGCTATGCGTTGCTTTATCCGTTTTCTTTTATCAGTTTCTACTGTTTTCCTTTTCTTCTAGTAATTGAATACGTCGGTTCCAACATTTTAAAGATTCTGCCTTTGTTTCTTCTTCATCCTTACACTAAGTGCCCAAGTAGGACCTTCGCCAAGCATGGACGCCTTGGATTCTGTGCTGGGAATGGCCAATGTGGCATTCTTCTACGCGATTTTGATATGGCTTTTGCTCCACAGCCTCAGACAAACCACGCGTGCTCATGTTCGTGCTGTGCATTTCAAACCAGGACCAATGGTTTTCGCTGTGGTCACTGTTCTCGCCAGTGTTATTGTTTCGGTTATGAACATTGCTCTTGCTTATTACCAGTTTAGTTCTAAGAGAATCTTAGGATATGGCTCTGTTTCCTTGCCTCTAACATGGGTTCTGGCTACTATGGTTTCGTTTTATTCAATGAGGACTAGAGTGAGGGAGAACAAAAGGTTCCCCCTTGTTCTCATCCTATGGTGGGTTTTTGCTTGTGTCATAGATGCACTCTCGCTGTGTATGAAGATGGTGAAGGATTTTGAATCGATGAGCTTCTGGGTTTTTTTGTCGGAGGATAACGTAGTTGATGCGGTTTCTTTGCCCTTGTTGATACTTCTCTGTTTCAATGTGTGTACAAGGGAGCACAGTCATACGGAACAAGAACAACTGTTACTGCAGAAAGAAGTGGAGAGAGAAGAGGAAGAGGTCTACACAAACGCGAGCACGTGGAGCAAACTCACATTCCGATGGTTGAACCCGGTTTTCGATACGGGTCGGGTTAAAAAACTTGAACTTGCTGATATTCCTCCTGTTCCTCATTCTGAAACGGCGGAAAGTGCTTCTTCGGTGTTGGAAGAATCACTTCGGAGACAGAAACTTGAAGGGGGTTACTTGACATGGGCTATTGCTCATTCTATACGGAAGTCCATGGCCTTAAATGCAGTTTTAGCAGGTATATTTTATATTTTATTCAGTATCACTCTACTGTTCCTCTTTAGTTTTTGTGTACTTTTATTCAACTTTAGTCATTCATTTATTGATTACTAATTTATGTATTTTGTATGCATTTGTAGGTGTTAACACAGGTGCCTCCTATATAGGTCCCGTGTTGATCACACAATTTGTCAATTTTTTAATGGGGCATGATGGTGATTCAAGCATCCAATATGGAATGCTTCTTGCATTCATTTTCTTCCTCTCAAAGACTCTGGAGTCTCTGAGTCAAAGACAATGGTATTTTGGTGCTCAACGAATAGGAATCCGGGTGCGTGCAGCTCTTATGTCTCTGGTTTATAGCAAGTCCCTATCTATGAAGTGTGCTGGATCAACACAAGGTAAAATCATCAATTTGATCAATGTGGATATTGAGAGAATTGGGGACTTCTGCTGGTTCATTCATGGAGTTTGGTTGCTTCCAGTTCAGGTCATTTTGGCCTTGTTAATCTTATACATAAATCTGGGTTATATCCCTTCTATTGCTGCACTTGTTGTCACCATGTTGGTCATGGTGTGCAACACACCTTTGGCCAATAAGCAAGGAGATTTGCACTCTAAGATCATGGAGTCTAAGGATGCAAGAATCAAAGTGACATCAGAGACCATGAAGAATATCAGAATTTTGAAATTGCATTCATGGGAAAACACGTTCTTTCATAAGCTCCTCCAACTTAGGGAATCTGAGAGGAAGTGGTTGCAGAAATACCTCTATACATGCTCAGCCATAGCCACACTATTCTGGACATCTCCAACTTTAGTTTCTGTTGTCACATTTGGTGCTTGTATCCTGGTGAAAACAGAACTAACAGCAGCTACGGTCCTCTCAGCTTTAGCAACTTTTCGTATTTTGCAAGAACCAATATACAACTTACCAGAGCTTATCTCCCAGATCATTCAAACAAAAGTATCTCTTGATCGAATCCAGGAATTCATTAAGGAAGAGGATCCAAACCAATTCATAAAAAGGCATACTCCAAAAATTTCAGCAGTTGCTATTGAAATTAAGCCAGGCGAATATGCATGGGAATTAAATGATCAAACCCACGAGAAACCAACTATTCAAATTACAGGAAAGTTGGTTATAAAGAAGGGTCAGAAGGTAGCAGTTTGTGGGTCAGTGGGGTCTGGCAAATCAAGTTTGCTCTGCTGTATGCTTGGGGAGATTTCATTAGTTTCTGGGGCAGTAACCAAAGTCTATGGGACTAGAAGTTATGTACCCCAAAGTCCATGGATTCAGTCTGGAACTGTAAGAGACAATATATTGTTTGGCAAGCAAATGAACAAGGACTTTTATGAAGCTGTTTTGGATGGTTGTGCTTTGAACCAGGACATCAGCATATGGGGTGATGGGGATTTGACCCTGGTAGAGGAGAGGGGCATAAACTTAAGCGGCGGCCAGAAACAGCGTATTCAGTTGGCAAGGGCTGTTTACAATGATTCAGATGTTTATTTCCTCGATGATCCTTTTAGTGCAGTTGATGCTCATACTGGAACCCATTTGTTTAAGGTTAGCGGTGCTAATGATTAGTGTTTGCGTTTTATTAATGCATTTTCTGATATAAAGTTTATTTCGATCAACAACTTCACCAAGAATTGAAAATGCTGTGCAGAAATGTCTCATGAAACTTCTGTATGATAAAACGGTTGTCTATGCTACACATCAACTGGAATTTTTGGAAGCTGCAGACCTCGTTTTGGTAAGCTACTTAACACTTATATTTTAGCTGACGAAATCGCCAAAAGTGTTTGACCCCTCATCACTAATATACTGTTGGCAGGTTATGAAAGATGGAAGAATAGTAGAGTCTGGAAGGTATAAAGATCTCATAGCATGTCCAAACTGTGAACTTGTTCAACAAATGGCTGCTCACCAAGATGCAGTAAACCAAATAAATCCATGCCAGGAAGATGAATCTGCCAGCTGCAGACCCTGCCAAAAAAATCAAATTGAAGTTGCTGAAGAAACTATTCAAGAGATCAACGATGATTGGAGCAGAAATAAAGAAGAGGAAGCAGAGATGGGTCGAGTGAAATGGAGTGTTTACTCAACCTTTGTCACATCAGCTTATAAAGGAGCACTTGTTCCGGTTATTCTTCTCTGCCAAGTTTTCTTTCAAGCTTTACAGATGGGAAGCAATTATTGGATGTCTTGGGCCACAGAGCAGAGGGGCAGGGTCAACAACAAGCAGCTTATGGGAATATTTGTTCTTCTATCCTGTGGTGGCACCATCTTCATACTGGGAAGGACTATTTTAATGTCAGTTGTTGCCGTGGAAACTGCTCAACGCCTTTTTCATGGGATGATCACATCAATTTTCAGGGCACCTATTTCATTTTTTGACACCACACCTTCAAGCCGAATTATGAGTAGGGTAAGTTTCACTATTATTTCTCTATTTGGAAGATTATTGCTATCTTTAATCAGATTTCAATCATTCTCTTGTGACGTTTACAGTCTTCAACGGATCAAAGTACTGTAGACACAGACATACCATACAGATTAGCTGGACTCGTATTTGCACTTATCCAGTTATTGAGTATCATTGTGCTAATGTCCCAAGTTGCCTGGCAAATCATGCTCGTCTTTCTTGTGGTGCTTGCTATTTCCATTTGGTATCAGGTAAGAACTATATCCATCTTTGATAATGTACACAAATTAAATCATATCAATTTCCTGTCAAACTCTTATTAGCATGAGCTGAAAATTATAGGGTCAGCTCATGTCATGGTGAAGCATCATATTGTCATAAATCTTTTGCATGAGCTAAATTTTGTATGACTAAACCAGTATTCTAGTGATGAAGTTATTGATTTTTGCAGGCTTATTACATCACAACAGCCAGGGAATTAGCCCGGATGGTAGGGATTCGAAAGGCACCAATCTTGCATCACTTTTCAGAATCAATTGCTGGCGCTGCCACAATCCGCTGTTTCAATCAGGAGCAACTATTCTTGACCAAAGTTGAGGCTCTAATTGATGATTATTCTCGGGTAGCCTTTCACAATTTTGGCACCATGGAATGGTTGTCTGTCCGAATCAATTTCCTCTTCAATTTGATCTTCTATTTTGTTCTCGTCATCTTGGTTACTCTACCAAAGTCTACAATTGATGCAAGTAAGTTCCTTCTTCCCCTATTCATCTTATCAGCAGCGATAACAGTTACATGCATGTTTGTATTAGATCCACATACAAGACGAATGCTATTTATCTCTCTCTCTCTGTCTCTCACTCTCTCTCTCTCATCAGTCTCTTAATTCCTACTCAATTGTACATGTTAAAGAGCAAGAGAAATAATTAAGATTAGATCCATTTACAAGTGGATACGAATGCTAAAGTCCCTTCTTCTGATTTTCAGGCTTGGCAGGACTGGTAGCTACTTATGGTTTGAACTTGAATGTCCTTCAGGCTTGGGTGATATGGAATCTTTGCAATGTTGAGAACAAAATGATATCAGTAGAGAGGATATTGCAGTTCTGTAGATTACCAAGTGAAGCGCCATTAATTATCCAAGATTGCAGGCCTGAACCATTATGGCCAAAGGAGGGAAAAATTGAACTTCATAACCTTCATATACGGTATGATCCAGCTGCTCCTATGGTCCTAAAAGGTGTCACTTGTGTCTTCCCAGGACAAAAGAAAATTGGTATAGTAGGCAGAACAGGGAGTGGAAAATCTACACTGGTGCAAGCCCTTTTCCGAGTGGTGGAATCTTCAGAAGGATGTATAGTTATTGATGGTGTAGATATTTCCAAGATTGGTCTGCAAGATTTAAGATCCAAGCTTGGTATAATTCCTCAGGATCCAACCTTGTTTCTAGGTACTGTAAGGACTAACTTGGATCCTCTTGAAGAACATGCAGATCAAGAACTTTGGGAGGTTAGCATTATCAGTTAGAACACTTTCTTTAAAATGCCAATGTTATCTTATTACTGAAAGAATTACTATTTTCAGGTTCTCAGAAAGTGCAATCTTGCTGAAATAGTAAGGCGGGATCCAAGACTTCTTGATGCACCAGGTATAACTTATTTTGTTAAATAATTGCACCATTCGGGATTATAGCTTTAATACTGTTATTGATATGAAACATTTTTTCACTTATGTAGTGGCTGAGAATGGAGAGAATTGGAGTGTTGGACAAAGGCAGCTTGTTTGCCTTGCTAGGCTACTACTGAAGAAAAGAAGAATTTTGGTACTAGATGAGGCAACTGCATCCATTGACACTGCCACTGACAATTTAATTCAGAAGACAATTAGAGAAGAAACCAGTGGATGCACAGTCATTACAGTAGCACATAGAATTCCTACAGTTATTGACAACGATTTGGTTTTGGTCCTTGATGAAGGTACTTTCACCTGCAGACTCATTAAGTACTTCAATATATGTGATCATAAAAACGTTATCTCATAACACAACTTATATCATGCAAAAGAATTTAACTTGAAGTTCCAAAGTATTGTAGCATATTATTGCACCCCTTTGTATAAGTTGCTGACGAGCTCTACTATTTTGACATGTACAGGAACAATTGTGGAGTATGACCAACCGGCTCAATTGCTACAGAACAACTCTTCTTCGTTCTCAAAGTTAGTCTCAGAATTTTTGAGGAGATCAACCAAAACTTAGTCTGTGTAACTTCCAAAAATGATAGAGAATGAGGACAGGTAGAAGATATTTACAGGATAGTATAGCAGTGACAGACCCCATCAAACTGTACATAGAGAAAAGTTAGGCCCAATGCTGAGCAGAATTAGTTAAGGATAAAGGTTTATGTAGATTTGGGGCTCCTGATCACAGTATAATAGTTGTTAGTTGCTGTTCTCATGCCACGAACACGACTGATTCTTTTACCAATTTTTCCTCTTAACAAATTTATACGTCTTGCAATTAATGATTGTTTCTACAGTTTCGGTGATGGTTTTGTGCAAAATTGTTGATAATGTTTATGTTGGTGTTTGTTTGACTTTCAATTCTTCCAAAGTCAATTATAAAACTATAGTTACTTCAACTTTTTTAAATTTTCATCGTGATTCTAAGAATTAGAATTGATTCGAGAAGGTATTCAGATACACTAAAAAGATCCAAAACTGGAATTTAAGAGCCGTGGAGGAGCATAACAGATCTTTTGTTTCATATTCATTTATTTTAAGGCATCAACAGTCTTCAATGGATCATCATTATCATCAAATTTTTGAAAGTTAGTATTTAAAAAAAGTGACTACTTATATATTTTAATGTCAATTATTCATGTAAGGTTTGATGTGATATTTAATGGTTCACATTTATTTTATTTTATGAGAAGAAAAACCTTTCACAAGAATGAATTTTCATGGTAACAAGAACATCTCTAGAAACTTTATTATTGATCAAAATATATGAAAAATTATAAATTCTGGTAGTCTTGTGTCTTGTTACCAATTTCTTTAATTTAGTCATAAGAAACTTAATAAAATTTATAATTTCTAATAAGTTTCTATTAATAGTGTCAAAAATATTGCTAATAATAAGATTTAAAAAAAAGTATGATTTTTTTTTTGTCTCTGTGTAGTATTTTAAAATTGATAATTAAAAAAAATTTGTACTCGCGATAGTGATTTTTGTTAATTAAGAAAAAGTATTGGTTGTATAAATATGAATTAAAATATATTTTTATTCTCGGTACAGAATTTTTTTTTTTTAATGATTTGTTCCCTTAAAAAAAAGTCTAAAGTGACTAACATGAATTAAGAAGTGAATAACAATTATATATGGGAAAAAAACTGTGCAAGTGTTCACGGATTCCCAGAACAAGGCGAAACATTCAAGAAGGTTAGGAGATTTGAGATATGCCAAATCCAAACTTTACATACATGAGACATTTCAGATATGCAAAATCATGTGAATTGTCAACAATTAACTTCATTAATCCACCGAACAAATGTTCAACTAAATCAAACCTAAAGCACCCACTGAGCATTTACAGCACTTTAAGTGCAATATCATCAACAAAAATACAATCTACTAAAATGTGCATGTGCATTTAAAAAAACTGAACCAAAATCATCTACATTTCATTTACATATTGAAAACAGACCATTTAATAAAACCAAGTTCTCCAATCACATGCAAAAAGAAATGGTAAACTCCTACTCAACCAAGCCTGAAGGATACTCATGTTCAAACCATAAGTAGCTGATCTTAATTATTACTTGTTTCTTGATAGTGTATCTAATCTTAATTATTTCTTCTGCTCTTGATTGAAACAGAGGATTATGCAGCCCCAGAAATAGATTCTGAGAAATGATGCAAGATTGGCATGTGCATATATAATTATACGTACACTAGCATGTGCATAACTTTTATCACATGAAGTTTTATCAGTTAATCTCACTCATAATTTCAAACATTATACAATTAATACCTTAAAACTTAAAATGCCTTTTTAACGAATTTCTAAAGAAGGCCCTCATATTTCTTCTTGGCAGCACTAGCATTGAAAGTTGCCATTGACTTTGAGCTGCTTGTTCATGTGCTTCTCTCGAAGCAAACCTGATGCGAACAGAGAAGTAGCAACAAAGGCCCCAACAACAGAGAGCGTGGATCAGCATTTCAAACTTTTTTCCAAACATGCACTAGATTTAAATTGAGTATTTTTTTTTTTGGGTTCGTAAGACTAATCTCCTCGCTACGTTGGAGGCACCTCAAAGGGTGGGATAGCTGGCCCCAAGATTTAACGCGGCTGCATATACAAGGCAGGATTCGAATCCCTGACCTTGCTTAAGCGTGGATTAACCCCTACCGCTGAACCACAAGATTTAAATTGAGTATACCATCAAATTGTGATTTTTCAAAAAAAAAAAAATACACGGAGGAAACAGTATTATAAATATAATATTTAGCCATGTATTTTGTATTGATTCTTACAATAATATTTTTTTGCAACATTTAACATTTTTTATACATTATATGGATACATTTTAATAATGTTTTCTCTTTGTTATTGTCTCATTATCGATTAACTCCTCCAACTATGGTTACCTTCTATTTTCGAAATACTAATTCTTAATGTGTACACGCAATTTTTCATTTTTCAAATTTATATAATTTAAACCTTCAAATATAATAAATGTATTAATATGAAGTAAAAACTTGAATTTTTAATGAATAGATAAATAAATTATAAAGATTCAACCTTAAGCTTAAAATTTCATAATAGTTATGGAATAACACAATCAACTTCAAGTTATGAAGGAAATATAATAAATAGGACAAAACAAAATCAAAACATAAAATAGAAATATCAAAATGAATGATAGCACATGAGTGTGAAATAATAAGGTTTTAATCTTGTTTTTGTTTAATGTAATGTATAAGAGGTACCACTTTAATGCATAAAAGGTGTTAGCCTAATGTTTTACTTTCTTCCTTTGATTTCTTTATTTTTTTGTGGTGATGCATTATTCATTTTGCTAGATATATCTTATTTTATATTTTTTCTACTCATTTGTTATATTTACTTTTTGCAAATTATAAGAATGATTGTATTATTGTATGACTTTTACGAAGTTTTACATTTAAATTTTCTAATTTTTTTTGTTAGTCACTAATGCATTTGTTGCATTTAAATATGTTTTATAATTTTGATATGCTTAAAATGAAAGAATAAAAAACAAAAAATTGTGTAGTTTAACTATCATTCAACTAATAAAATATCTTAGTTGAGATAGTATAGTATGTAAATTCAAAAAAATTACTTAAATTTTACTACTTAAAATAATACAATTAAATAATATTGAAGTAAATATAATTCTTGACTTGTAGCATGTCTTTTCCATTCACAAGCTAGCTAACAATAAGGTATATTTCGTCCACTACTTGAATAGGATTTTCAAACCTCAACATAGCAATCTCATAAAAAAAACTCGAAAAGCATGTGTTGTTAAATGTATACAATAAGAAAAAAAAATCAATGATATGTGGAATTTAACATATATTTAATAAAATTTATAAGTCAAATGAAAAGATAATAATGAATATAAGGAATCAAAATTTAAACTTTTTTTAATAGACAAATTTCATAAAACAAAGATAATTTATGAATTTACCGGTAACACAATATATTTTTCAAATAATTTCGATCATCTGAAGAAAAAAAAAGTTAGTTCTACTCATATAAGCAAGAATAATCTCCCAATGAAACATCATTCCTTTCAAATCATTTATTATCTTCCAAAGTATATTCATGATTATGACTTAGATTTTTTATTTGCAAAACATAATATGCATTTTCAAATTAAACACGAAATAAAAAATGGACAGATAAAAATAATCCAACATGCATTAGAAGTAGTTTTTAAATGAAACAACAAATAACTACCAAATGGACAATATGCAAAATATATCATGTATGACCTTCCAATATTAACATAAATAAAATGGAAGGCCAACACACACACAATGAAAAAAGAAAAGAAAATATCAAAAATACATTAAAAATGAAATGTGATGATTGAAGGTTGTTTATTAAATTATTCACTTTTGGAGAATAAAATATGTATAGTCTTGTTTCGTAGCATTTAGTGCTATAAATGATAATCATTGAAGAATATTTTTTATTAGTACAATTGACTTTCATTACATTCATTACATGTGTTCAGAGAAATTTCTCACTTTATATATATATATTAATATATAATAGAAAAACCAGGAGAAGTACTAGAAAATTGGAAGAATTAATGCACCATAAGAGAATTTTATAGAGGAAAAAATAGCAAAATCTATTAAGATAAGTGAAGTTTAAATATACCAATTAAATTATTTATAAAAAAAATCGACAATTAAAGAAGTATGACTCTACGGTATATAACATATATATTACATTAAATTATTAAAATGTGAAGTGTCTCACAAATTATAATTACTTTTAATTCATTCAAAAATTTGAGTTTTCAATAATGATAAATAATAAATTAAATAGACTTGTTTAAGATTCTCTCAACAAATAAAGGAGTATGACTCTTCAATATCCGACATATATTATATTTAATTATTAACATGTATAATTATTTTTAAATCATAAATTATAAAATAAAAAATCATTAAACTTCAAATAGTAAAAAAAAATCTGAGCATTAATTAATTAATGCAACACTTCTTCTTTCATATATATAAAGATAAGGATTAGTTATTATTATTAATGAAAAGGTATAAACCATATCTTAATTATTATTCTTAAAAGATTAGACGTCTTCTTCATGTTTTCCTCTAGTAGAAAAAGTAGGCTGCCTAGTATGATTCAATGATTTCAATACCAAGGGGAATGTCCATTATGCAGGCCACCACCATATATAGTCATTGGTTTAGTCAAGAGAATAAAGACGCACTAAAAACACAACATGGTAGTTAACTAATACAATAATTTAAAAAAAAAACAACCATATATAACAACGCTAGTTGATTCCAGTAATAATGTAGTTGGTTTCCTATTCTAGTTTCGTGGAGAAAATATAATGAAAACTTGAGTCAATTCTTATGACATTAGTTTTACCTTATATTTAAGAAATTAAAAAATATTTAAATTTAATTTAATTATGTTGGATGATAGAACACAAATACGAATTAAAAAAAATGGTAATCGTATTTAAAAATTCATCATCAATTGTAATAAATTTCTTTTAATTTGTACAAGATCACATAAAGATTTTCTTCCGCTAAATTAAGTAATTCAACAACTTTAGCTACCATCAAATTTGCATTACTCCTCTAATATTTACACAACTCTCTAATGTAGTAAGTGTATTAAATATATAGTCAATATTTTTCATCAAACAAAGATATATTTCAGAGGAGGTATTCATGCAATCTTTTGCATATATAGGTCAATGGTCATGCCATTTGAGTTTAAAATATGTACCAAGAATGGGCAACCATATTCATTACAGAACCGTAAGTTATGCATAATTGTAAATGTTATAATTAGCAATCATTATTATTGTTATTTTTCTTTAATACGACATGCATGCATTCCATTTAGCATCTACAAAGACAAAATGGTTAAAGTCCCTTTCTTTGTTCCCTCCCCTCTTTTCCAAATCATAGGCCTCAAGGCGTAAAATCAACGTCTTGAAGGGTTGCCCCTATTATATGTCCCGAGTGGCATTAATTTCTATTTCTGGTGTGCAAAACTCACGCTCCAAATGGTGAACACCACCATAAAACTTTATGGCTGCCAAATTTCAGCCTGCTGATAATTAATTTGTGATGCGCAAGTCTTGCAAATCAATCATGTATGAAAGGAAATTTGTGCCATAAACTAAGAACAAAATGCGTGCTCCATGTCCTGCTATAAATGACAGGATCCTTGAAATTTCCCAAGTGAATGAAAACGACCTCCAACATAGTGGGGTCTACGGAATTACAATAATTTAATAAAAATATCATTTGGCTGTGAGCTCACGGACCAGAGAATCTCAATCTTTCTAAGCCATCTTTTTAACTTTTCCTTCACCATAGATAAGTGCCGTGCGTGGCCACCCTCATAAATCCTATCTAGTGGTCCTTTTCCTTTTGTCATCTAACATCCTGCAACAACAGTTTATAGTTAGCTATATCTTTCCTCTTCTTCCCTTCACCATTTTGTTTTGCTACCAACTTCAGCCAGCAACACTGTTTACCTCCAACTTTTGTTTCCTTGTACTTCACTGTTTACAAGGTTAATGAATCACACCCTCACTCACTTCCTAGAATTTTCATTTTTCAACAACTTTTAGTCCTAGAGAATATAATAAGCACATATTCTGTTAGTGGTGTGCTTTCACTTTTTGCTTTTATGAGGGGTCTCAAAGGCCACTTTATTCTGCTGCTTGATCAGAGGTTTAACTCTGTTGATTGAACAGGAGTGTGATTCTCGTAAATTCTCTTGGTACAGAGTTTGATTCCCATGCTGCTGCTTGAAAATAGAATTGAACAAAGTGGTTGTGACTAGTGACTAGTGACTAGTGACTAGTGACTGGTGAGTGTCCTTTGTTGTAAAGGCTCATCTCCTCTCTAATTTGGGGTACTAGTCCTACTACCATGCCATCCTCTCACTTCCCTCTTCGCTGGGAGAGCACTGGAGACAAATGGTGGTATGCATCTCCAATTGATTATGCTGCTGCAAATGGCCTCTATGATCTGGTCACTGAGCTTCTCCACCTTGACACCAACCTCCTCATCAAGCTCACTTCCCTTCGCCGAATTCGCCGCCTTGAAACCGTGTGGGACGATGAGTCTAAGTTTGAGGATGTTGCCAAGTGCCGCGCCAAGGTTGTGACGAGTTTTTTGTTTGATTGTATTTTGTAGAGATATATTTTTATCATAGTAGCTTGTTATTTTGTTTCACGAGCTAGCTCTAAGTGTATAGAGTAAAATTGTAATACAAAAATTCAAATAGTAATATTATCCTAATCTTGAAATCAAACTGAATTATCGTTTTTCAAAGTAAAAATATTTAGTCATATTTTCGACAGGTTGCAAGGAATCTTATGCTCGAGTGTGAGACAGGAAGAGGGCACAACTCTCTCATCCGTGCAGGCTATGGTGGATGGCTTCTCTACACGGCTGCTTCAGCCGGTGATGTGGACTTTGTTCTTGAGTTGTTGGGGAGAGACCCTTTGTTGGTGTTTGGTGAAGGAGAGTATGGTGTCACTGACATGCTGTATGCTGCAGCCAGGGGCAAGAATTGTGAGGTCTTTAAGCTCTTGCTTCATTCTGCCCTCTCCAGAAAGGAGTGCCTTGGTGGCTGTGAAGAAGAATTGGAAGAGAAGTTGGATGAAGGTGATCGAGTTTTCAAGAAGGATGTGGTGAATAGGGCCATTCATGCTGCTGCCAGAGGAGGGAATTGGGAAATACTGAAGCAGCTTCTTTCTGGTGTTTCTCAGATTTTGTCCTATAGAGATGCACAAGGATGTACAGTCTTGCATGCAGCAGCTGCAAAAGGCCAGGTTGAGGTGAGGCAGATAACTTAGAATGTGTTTATTTTATGTCAATTCCACTTTCCAAGTCACGTTAAAGGTTGAACGCCAATTGTGACCATTGGCGTTCAACGTGGATAAATTGAAATTCAAACACAGCCTTAGTAGTTAGTGCATTTTGGTTTTGCTGAAGTTCCAAATTATGGTTTTGTTGAAAGTAACTTTTGCCTAAATCATAGTTTGAAGATTGTCAATGGAATACTTAACACATTCTGAATGTGGTTGTAGAAAATTCAGGAGCCCTACTTATTTAATGGTATTGTTATACCGAATAAATTATGGAAAAACCTGGTTTATCTTATGGATCACTGGCATAAATCTTTTCATGTTTCTAGATACTAGTGAACAACTACTTCGTTGCATTATCAAGCTTCACAATAGATCAGGCTTCTTAAAGATGATTGTGAAATGTGTGTAGTATACTGTTCAAATAGTACTACGCACATTTTGGTGAATTCCTCTTTCAATGTCTCAATGCTTTATTCCAATTGGCTCCTGATTCGTAGTACAAACCCTGGAATTTGGTTTACATAGACTCAAATCAGAGTTAATGTAAAATATTTTGCTTTAAAACAAAGGACTTATTTTATGAGTGTCACTTTTTACATTTGATATTTTGGGGGGCAGTTGATGCTAAAAATGTTATGTTCAAACCTTTTGCATCTTCTTCGTGGTTCATAAATTAATTGTCACTTATATTCTTTATCATAATGATACAGGTGGTGAAAAATCTAGTTGTATCTTATGATATCATCAACTCAACTGATGCTCAAGGCAATACAGCATTACATGTGGCTTCTTACAGAGGTTACCTACCCGTGGTAGAGATTCTGATTGGAGCATCTCCCTCATTAACAACGTTAACCAATCACTATGGAGATACTTTTCTTCACATGGCAGTGGTTGGTTTCAGAAGCCCTGGTTTCTGTAGACTGGACAAACACACTGAGCTCATGAAGCAATTGACAAGTGAAAAGATTGTGAACATGAAGGACATCATCAATGTCAGGAACCATGATGGAAGAACAGCTCTTCATGTTGCTTTGATTCATAATGTCCAATGTGATGTAGTGGAATTATTGATGTCTGTTCCATCAATTGATTTGAACATTCGTGATGCCGGTGGAATGACCCCTTTGGATCATCTTAGGCAAAGATCAAGATCAGCATCTTCAGAAATTTTAATCAAGCAGTTAATTTCAGCCGGAGGGATATCTAATTTTCAGGACTATGTAACAAGAAATGCCCTTGTTAATCATCTCAAGACTAATGGTATTAGAGGCAGTCCTGGAACATCATTTAGAATACCGGATGCAGAGATTTTGTTGTACACAGGCATTGAGAATTCATGTGATGCCAATTATGATAAGGCCAGTGTAGAATCAAATTCTTGGTCAAGTGAAATAAACAATTATGACTCAGCCAATTCTCCATGTAACAGCAAGTCTAGTTCTGTCAATTATGGTGCAAGACGTTTAATGTTTCTGCTCCGGAAAAGAGACACAAAAGAAGCAGCCTCAGATAATGATTCTGTGAATTCTTTCAGTTCAAGGAACAACAACTTGGAAGACTTTCCCATTCCATTGAGGCAAAGATACTCAAAAATGTGTTCTCTTCCAAACAACAAAAGAACACTATCTATAAGGACTTATCTTCCAAGTCCATCAGCCAAAAAATATTTCACTCAAGGCCTAATGCAAGGTGTGATTAAGGTAAAGCCACAAGTGCCTCTTCCTGTTCATTCAACTTCTAGTTTTTTTCAAGAACTATCTATCTCTTCTCATTCTTCGAATGATAAGCAAAAACGTGTTGATACAATGAGACCCTCTTGCTCCAATCGACCTATGGATGATGGTGGTACCCTACAGTTGAACTATAAGCAGGGCTCCTTCGACAAGAAATTGATGAACCGATATTTTTCTTTTGGAGCACATGAGCAGGTTTTGGAAGATGCAAATAGCTGCACAATGTCAAATCGCAGTCCAAAGCATTTTAGTTCTTTAGTTGCATAAATGTTAAATAGGCTTTGGAAACTTCATGAGGAATATGCAACAATAATAATTAATAATACTAATAGTAATATATGTTCGGTGTTCAACTGTACTTTGAAAGTCAACCGCCAAGTCCAAGTTAGAATTTTCTGCCTAGCATGTAGTTGGCAACTGCTTTTTAAAATTTTCTGATTTCTCTCAACAAGTTGTAAATGTAAAAATTTATTTGTTTACAATAAACTCAACTAAGTTAAATGCCTAACACCTATCATTTTCAAGCAAGATTTCGTATTATATACACAAAATTTGGTAACATACATCCACTTGATTTTTAGTTAGCAAACTACATGGGTATATTTTAAGGATATTGTTATAACTTGTTAACATACTATAATTAAAAAAATAACTTATATTTGGACTCTAATCTTAAAAAATTCTATAATAGTGTCATTAAAATGAGCCAAAACCTGTAAGCTAACCCAATCTACCATGGGTTTAAGTTGAGTTAAGCCAAAAAAATTTAGTTTGTTTCAATTATAAGAAAAATTTATTTTGGCCCACCGTAGAGCAATATGTGATGAGTTGGGTTAACTCTTGAGTTGGTCCACCTAATATACTTTTTTATTTTAGGTTCTCAAATATTAATTTATATGATTATATATTTATATTATTGACTAAATTTTATACATACTAATTATGAATTATGATATCAATTTGATATTGTTTGTATGTATTTTATTTAACAACTTTAATATTATTTGATATTATTTTATGCAATTTAACTTACAACTTTTAATAGTTTAATCATCAATATATATCATCCTAGAACAATGTATAAATAATTAACACTGTATATCAACCTCCAACATGTGAGGGATTCAACTATTACATACATGTTCAACACTTAGTCAAAGAATCAACATATTTTCATTTAAAAACTCACGTCTAGCATTATTTTTCCTACGTTCAACGTGATTGAGGCAAAGAGCCTCTAACTCGCCCATGCCCGATGTCATTTTACCTATGCTTGACGTTGATGAGGTAGAGAGCTCATGTGCCAATCATGTCTAGCTTGGCTAAATCTATACTCGACCTCATTTCAAGTAGAGAGCCTTTGTCACTTATGTCCAACGACACTCCGTTAGCGTCAAACGTCATTCAAATAGAGAGCTTCTATCTTGATTATACTTAGCACCACTCAATTGGGATCGACATCACTAAATCAAAGAGCTCTCCTTTAACTCACTCTTGGTATTATCAATCTCATGCTCAACATTAGTGAGGTAGAGAACCTCTAGAGTTATGGTTTTAGAGTGTCTCTCTCTAGGTTATCTTTCTAAGTTTTCTTAAGAATGAACTTATGAAGTTAAGTCTTAAAGAAAATCTGATATACCCACTCCTTCTTAATAAGTCAACTAGACCTCTGATAAAAAAAATTTCTAAATAACTAAAACTCATGAGAATTTCTAAATTTTTAGAGTTCTTAACAATTAAATAACAAATCACCACAACATATATCTTAATAAAACCAACAGTAATTAAAATAGATCTTGTTACATCTTATTTATCAAATTGTGTTTAGAAATATCCATTTCATCTATTTTTATTATAAAAAAGTAATCATATAAATAAATTAGATGATTATTTTGTAAGAGACTAAAAGAGAATATTAGTATTGTATATTATTTTATTGCAAACTTTTTATTATTACCTTATTATTAGGATACAAATATTTTTTTGTTGATTTATCTATATTATTTTCCTTCACTTTTGCATTAATTTAAAAAAAAGAAGGAAACAAATTATGTACTTCTTTTTCTTCTTATTCCACTAATTCAAACAATACAATTTTCTACTTAAAATGCATCGTAATTTTTATTTTTTTTCTTCTCCATTTTCTTCCCCATTAAAAGTAAGAATTGAAATTTCATTTCCAAAGTCAATTCTTTATAAAAGATGAATTTCACATCTAACACATATTTATAAACAACATATAAAATATAATTTAATTTTGAAAAATTTGCGTATTCCAGATGAAGTTCTAAACACAGTCAACAAGTTGTATTTTAAGTAGTATTAGACTTTATCCACTTAATCAAGATTTTAGATTCAAATCTTGTATGTAAAAAAAAAAAGTAGTTGAGAGGAAGAAGTCGAAGTTCAAGCAATATTAGTTAATAAATAATTTGTACCATTAAATAGTTTTTAAAAAAAACAAACACATACAATTTTTTCTATAAAAAAAACAAAAATGAAAAAGAAAAACACAAAGTTGTCCAAACCTGTTGTAGAAAAAAAGATTGTGATGTATGGAAAGGAGTAGTTAGTTGTGAAGTGAATGCATGCATATTGCATAGTCAGCAGCATAGACATATAGACCTACCATGCACCCTCACCACCACCAACACCGGCCGCACCGCCTCTCGGTGCCGCCGCGCACGACCACATTCAGCGGCGCGTCTCCGGCGTTCCGATTGTCGTCCTCAACGCCGAGCCCAACCCCGTCGAAATCCCGGCGGCTGTCGTTGAAGAAGCCTGAATCGAAATCTGGATCGTCCATCTTCCTCCTGGTGTTCTTCTCCCTCCGGTCCCTCTACTCCCTCCTCCCCTTCCTCCGCTCCTCCCCCTCCTTCTCCCTCTTCCCCTTCTCCTTCCTCCTCTCCCTCCTCTCCTTCGCCCTCACCCTCTCCTTCTACCTCCTCTCCCCCTCCAAGCCCAAACACCCCCTCACCCTCTCCCACCTCCTTTCCCCAACCCTAGCCGCCAAATCCACCCTCCTCGCCCTCCTCTTCCTCCTCCGCTTCCAGGCCCTCCGCTACTGCGGCACCGCCTCCATGATCCTCGCCGAATTGACCGGCTCCATCGCGGCCCACCCCAGAGGCCCACACCGGCCCAACGCCCGCGCCTTCCTCTTCCTCTCCCTCGGCCTGCTCATTCTCTCCTTCGGCTGGGACCGAATCCAATGCTTCCCTTTCTCCCCTAACTGCCTCAAATTCTGGCCCCTTCTCCTTCCTTTCCTCTCCGGCTTCCTCTCGCGTTACCAACTCTCCTTCGGCTCCGCTAACCTCAAACACCTCGGCCACAAACGCCTTCGCCTCCTCACTCTCCTTTTCGCCACTCTTATCCTCTTCCCCCCTTCTCTCCTCACCTTCTTCATCTTCCCTCCCCAGGACCACGCCCTCGCATTTGGGGACCTCGCCTGGCCTCTCCTCAACACCGTCGTCTTCGGCGTGCTTCTCACCGAGACTTGCAACACCGCCAACGACGACCCCGATCATGCTTTCTCCACTTTCAAAGACTCTCACCGCGAGTTTCTCCTCACCTTCGTTTGCACCCTCGTTTTGGAGCTCTTCTATTTCCCCGAACTCTCCCTCTGGGGCTTGCTCCTCTCTGGCTTCTTGCTCTACCTTGGTGTTAGAGATTTGGATCCCCATGATGAGGGGTTTCTTGGTGACGTCGTTATGAAGCCTGTTAGGCATGTTTTGAGTGAGAGGAAGTCTCGAAAAATTGCGCTTTTTCTTCTCATCAATGCTGGCTATATGGTTGTGGAGTTTGCTGCTGGGTTCATGAGTAATAGTCTTGGCTTGATTTCGGATGCTTGTCATATGTTGTTTGATTGTGCTGCTTTGGCTATTGGGTTGTATGCTTCGTATATTTCTCGTTTGCCTGCTAATAATCATTATAACTTTGGAAGAGGGAGGTTTGAGGTTCTCTCGGGCTATGCCAATGCTGTGTTTTTGGTTCTCGTGGGAGCACTCATTGTGGTGGAGTCTTTTGAGAGGATATTGGATCCTCAAGAGATATCTACTAATAGCTTGTTGGTTGTTTCTGTGGGAGGGCTTCTAGTCAATGTTGTTGGTTTGATATTCTTTCATGAGGAGCATCATCATGCCCATGGTCATGGATGGTCTGGAGGGTCATGCTCCCATTCGCACTCGCACTCGCACTCGCACTCACACTCAGAGTTGCATAGTCACCACCACACCCACCATCATCATGATCACGATCATGATCTGCATTGCCATCAACATGGAAGCAAACAAGAATTTATTTCCATTCCCAGTGATTGCCGGGACGACTCATGCCCTAGTGAACATGGCCATCATCATCATCATCATCATCATGACCACTCTGGTCATGAGACCAAACATCTTGAAGACAGTCACAGCATTCAGAGCTTTAAGCATCATGACCATGATCATGGCCATCACCATGACCACCGTAGTCATGAGAGGAAGCATCATGGTGGATGTCATGAAGATAACCACGGCATTCAGAGCATTGAGCATCATGACACTGCCCACAGCCATGAAGCTTCACATGTTCACCAAGAGCATGGTCATCACGGCCATCACCATATCGATCACAATATGGAAGGGATATTCTTGCATGTTCTTGCTGACACCATGGGGAGTGTTGGTGTTGTTATATCTACCCTGTTAATTAAGTACAAGGGATGGCTTGTTGCTGATCCTGCCTGCTCAATTTTTATTTCAATTTTGATTGTATCCTCTGTGATACCTTTACTAAAAAATTCAGCTGAAGTTTTGCTGCAAAGAGTGCCAAGGATGCATGAGCATAACTTGAAGGACGCCTTAACTAGCGTTTTGAAGATAAGGGGTGTTTATGGCATTCAGAAGTTTCATTCCTGGAGCTTCACTAACACAGATGTAGTTGGTACAATGCATCTTCACGTGTCAATGGACACAGACAAGATATCCGCCAAGTCTCAGGTTTTGCATCTCTTACATGATGCTGGAATCAAGGATGTAACCTTGCAGGTGGAATCTGTTGGATAATTTCTTTCAAAATAGTTGTTTATTTGACTGTTGTTGCCCGTGAAGGTTGTCCACGGATTACTGACATACAATGTTTGGAACAGAGAGCAAAATTTCCTGATTATTGTCATATCGAATGCTTCATAATATCACCACATCAATATCTGTCTATTTTAATTCTGAAGGATGATGAATTTAGTTTTGGATCTGTTTGTCCGGATCCCACAAATACCAAAGTTGTAATTTGTTTAGGAATTAGGATACAGTAATGTAAAGACACGAGCATAGATTGTAGAAAAGCATTTGATGAAAGGAGAAGCATCTATTATCTATATGACTATATATTATCTATATACTTTAACGAACTTTATCTTTTACTTCTTTCAATTAAAACATTCTTTTTCTATACAATTATCGATATGTGGTTAACAGGGTAATGGGTTATTCAAATGTTTAATAGTTAATTTTATCTTACAAGTAATTAATAATGTTGAGTTTATTGAAATGTCTAATAATGATTCATGTTGTTTCATAAGTATGGTTGTCAATATCGATTATTAACTTGAAAAATTATCGAGTTTACGAGTTTGGGTAGTACAACCTATTCAACTCGTATATAAACTCGATTTTTATTAAATTTGAACAAATTTACTCAAATTTGTGAGTTTCTTGCGATTTTGTGAGTCTAAGAGACTCACTAATAAAACCTCCAAAATTACATTGAGAGCAACATTTCACTTAAGGGATTGTTTTCTTCTTACATTTTGAACAGATCTTTGAACCTCAAAACTTGTTTCTCTCAACAACAAACTGAGATTTTGTTGGTGTCGCTTGCTTGCTCGTTCCCTAGTCAAGGTCATCATGTTGCTTGCTCGTTTGTTCTCTGGTCATGATTGTATTCTTCGTGTCATGGTGTTTTTGTGGTGGCTCATCGCTGTGCTCTCTAGTCAGTGTTTTTATGGCTAGCTTGCCACGTTCTCTTGTCGTGCCATGGTGTTTTTGGGGTTTTCTTGGTAAAAGTTCTTTCCCATTTTCCTTTAGTATATTTTTCTCATGGTGATGGTGACAATGGAAATGGTGATAGTGGCAATGGAAATAGTGATGGAGACCTTGAACTTGGAAATGATATCATTAGAGGATTAGAAATAGAGATTTGAAGATATTAGTCTTTTCTTAACTTTTTATTTGCTATCATTTTAAGAATTTGTGTCTCGTGTAAAATTATGCATGATTTGTTACTAAACTTTGTTACTTTATTATTGTAATTTGCTATAAGTTAAAATGTTGAGTTATTATGTTATTTATTATTTTAACATATTTTTTTTTAAATTAAGTAAACTTTTATGAGTTCACGAGACTTCAACAAATTTACGTAAATTCTCAATTTTGACAACCGTGCTCATAAGTAATTAATATTAACCACATATCAATAATTATATATAATTACATTATTTACTTTTAATCATTTATGCACTAGATAGCTTTTACATTAATATCACAACTTTATAGTTTTAAAGTCAATTTTACTTCTATTAAGTAACATCAATTTGGGAGTAACTATTTTGGAGACTACCTTAACCTAGTTTGGACTCTTAGCTCTTTAAGTTGGTTTTATTTTTGCTAAATATATAACACTAATTTGGGGACAATTGTTCTCCGGACTACCTTAACCTAACCCTATTTTTATGTTTTAGTAACATGTTTGTTCAATAGCAACAACTAATATATCAAAAGACACAAAATATAATGATTATAACTAATTCCATCATATCAACAAAGTTTGAATCTATTGAGACAACAAAAATCAAATGACTATAATACTTGCACTTATTGTATTTTGTCCACTTAGATATTTCACGTTACATGATTGAATGTAACACAATATGTGAATATCTATCATTCTTTCAAATACTTATGTAAACATTGATTTTGCCATTATGGTCTAAGTGGTTGGGAAGGAGAGACTTATGGTTGGAGTGATAAGGAGAGTATGGATCCGAATCCTCCACTAACATAACAACTAACAATTTATATTTGTTAATAAAAAAGTGTTGCCATTGAAAGTTCTTTGAGATTATCATCATTGTCGTTAAAAGCTACTAAAGACACCATCCTAAAAATTCTCGAAGACATCAAGTTTCACTTAACATAACAACAATTTTTAAGACAAAATTAATGATATACGTATAATTGAGCATGTTTTTGGGTGTAAGCTGGTGGATTGTAGTTTATAAGGTAGTATAAGGTGGTCTAAATGGTTTGGAAAGACATAGGGTTTGAAGTGATAAGGAGAGTGTGGATTCGGATACTCCAATAACATAATAACTAGGGGTGGATATACGGACCGGTCCGGCCCGTTTAAGGCCCGGTCCGTAAAACCCGCGTTTTATACGGGCCGGATAAGTCCGGTCCGTAAAATAAATGGACTTATTTTTTAAGTCCGTATCCGGCCCGCCAAAATCCGCGAATAACGGACCGGTCCGCGGGCCTAATTTATGGTTCAAAAAAATAAATTTTTTAAAAATAAAAATACATAAAAATGGAAGAAAAAAATATTTTTTATTTATAAGCTAAATTTTATCATACTAAAATTTATCAATAGTTAAAATGGTTTAAAATACTAAATATTAAAATATTAAAATAAAAATAATTACAAATACTTAAATAATAGTACTAAACTTTCAATAATAAAGGCATAAAAATGTCATAAAAATAATTCAAATGACAAATATATACCAACTAAACATAATTTTAATATCATAATAATTTTAAAAAATTAAATACACAACTTAATATTAAAATCATAATATTTAAAAATATTAAATGTGAAGTCCGCGGACTAGCCCGCGAGCCCGCGGATTAAATCTGCCAAGTCCGCAGACTTAACGGGTCGGGCTCAAAAATTAGACATAATCATACGGATTTGAAAAAAACGGGTCCGTTATCCACAAAATCTACGAGCTTACGGACCGGTCTACGGACCTGGGTCCATCTACCCACCCCTAATAATAACTAACAATTTATATTTGTTGATAAATAAAAAAGTGCTACCATTGAAAGTCCTTTAATATTATCATCGTTGTTGCACACACCATTGCAAAGGTATTACTAGAGACACCTCCATAAAGGCTGATGGAAACATCAAGTCTCACTTAACATGACAACAATTTTTTAAGACAATTAATGATATACCGACGCTGGGTGGATGGTAGGCATTCATCCTTATTCCTTTAAGACAACCAAATATCAAATTAGTATCCCGAAAGAACCGCAAACATCTAAAGGAAAGGTAATGCCCAATATTGGTAAATTGCACGAAATGTAAAATGTAATTTGAGCCGTTAAGAGTCACTGAAAGGCAACAAGATGTTGAATGCATCACAAAGAAGCATCTTGTTTAAAAGCTCAACTAAACTTATACCATATAAGTCACCTGGTATTAGTAGCCTGAGCATAAGTCAGCATAGAACAAACTATCACCATATGACAGAAGTTGACATTTTGTGGCCTTTGAGATGAGTGTCAAGTATAGAAGTTTGAGTTGCGATATAGAAACAGATTCCCACTTACATCGCCATTCCTCCATCAATGGTGAGTACCTGTTACATAAAATCGTGATTTATTCAAACACACAAAAGAAGAGTTGGAAAAAAAAAAGGTAAATAAAATAAGTTACAAAAACCTAAGATGATGATAGGATAGTAATCAAAATAAACTTTTTCTCATTTCAACATGATTTTTTCAATTGCATTGAAAAGATGACTAGTATAATGATAGACAAAGAATCCATTTTGATAAAATTTTCTGTAAGCATTTATAACAGGAAAAAAAAATAAGAAAAAAAATTAAAATAAATTTCTCTATAAATTAAAACTAGTTTATCTATAAGTTAAAAATAATATTTTAGAAAAATTAGTAAGATAAAATATTTACAAATTAACTTATGCACAAGTTAATTTTAATTTATATAAAAAATTATTTTATTTTTTCTTCGTAATTTTCTCTCGAGAAGTATATATAAAAACATTTATTTAAACAGATCCTAATCTCATAAGGGAGTTCTATATTTAGAAAACCAATAAGGAAATAAATAAATGACCTGGCCAGTGATGTATTTAGCAGCAGGATTAAGAGCCAAGAATTCCACAAGTCCAGCAACTTCTTCAGGTTGGCCAAATCTCCCTGAATCCAAGTTTGAAAAATAGTAAGCTATTAGCAAAGTGTACATCTTCAATCATTTAAAAATATCCTTAAATGTGCTTCAGAGTTTAAAATATTTTGGTCACTCACACTCACCCAAGGGAATTAACTCTAATCTTTTTTTCTCAATGTCTGGTCGTAGCTTGGCAGTCATATCAGATGCAATAAAGCCAGGGGCAACTGCATTAACCTGTAATGAAATGGAGTTTTAATCAACTCGTAATTAACTTGCCTCCTGGATATCTATCACTATCAGGTCCAAAAAATTACAGTGATGTTTCTGCTAGCATATTCTCTGGCAGCACTTTTTGTGAGGCCAATTACTCCTGCCTTTGCAGCACTATAATTGGCTTGTCCAACATTGCCAACCTGACCAATAATTGATGCAATATTCACTATCCTTCCCTGCAAAAGTATCGGTAAACTGAGATATGAAAGTACAGAATAGAGTGCTAAATTCAGAAATCACTAGATGTCATTTTGCAATCCCACATTGGGCTAGCTGAATTCAAAACTTCTTAAGAAATATAAGTATATAACCTGTAGCTAATCCATAATTATAACAACAATAATAACATCTAGTAATTTACATAGACATTGTTGTTAGCATAACAAAGAAAAAACACTGATGAATTGACCAAAAGAAGTCCACTTAATTAATAGCCAAAGGGTTCTTATAAATAAAAAAAAAAAACCCTTCCACTATATACAAATTATAAGAAAGTGAGGATTATATTAAGTGTGATGTTTTCACCTTCTTTTTCATCGCCATAATCTTTGCTGCTGCCTGTAAAAGCAAACCATCTCAGCCTCTTTATTTTAATTTTGAAAAGGAAAAAAAAGCTATACTTAGTTTAACAATATATGAACTCAAGATTCTGTAACATATATATATCAACCTGTGTGCAAAGAAAAACACCAGTGAGATTCAGATCAATAACGTCCTGCCATTGTGATTTCTTCATTCTCATTAACAAACCATCCCGAGTAACTCCTGAACCCATGATAATTTATTAGAGTGTGAAATCTGAAATTGAAGCAAATAAGTTACAGCACAGTTGCTTAATTTAACCAAGCTACGTACCTGCATTATTTACCAACACATCAACAGTTCCCCAAGCATCAACTGCCTGCATGTGTAGAAGTGCACATAATAATCAATCAATCACATTCACTTAACCAAGGTAGAATAATCTCACCGATTAATATCTAATAAATCAAAATTAAAAATATTTGCTCACAGTTTTAATCATAGACTCCACATCAGCCTCATTTGAAACATCTCCCGCAAAGGTAAGAGCTTTTCCACCAAAAGCCTCAATCTGAAAGTAATAATCAAATAAATTATAATGCAGTTCTGAGTTCAGTCAATCAGTATAACTGAGCTACTAGCATGTAAGTGTATGAGTGTATCAATATGACACTAAGTACATTGGTGAGATTTAATTTAAAGCATTAGAATAAAAAGAAGTTTAGATATTGTACATACCAAGTTGGAAACCTCTTCAGCTTGTGTGGATGACCTGGCATAGTTGACCAAGACCTGTAATAGAGTAGAAACAATCATATAAGTGAATGACACAAGGACATGAGAGTGCGAGGCATTACATGAGCATGTAACCATGATGCCTGCATGCATGCATGCACGTAGGAATTGATTAATTAACGAACGAACCTTGCAAGCTGCTTTGCCGAAGGAAAGTGCAATTGCACGGCCAATGCCTCTGGAGGCTCCAGTGACTACAACAACAGGTGCTTCCATGTTCTGGCTTGCTTCAAGCTTCACAGAGGGAAATGAACTATTCCAAGTGAAGCGTTGAAAGGCCAAAACCTCAATACCTACTTTCCGGCTAGGTCCAGTTTTGAAAAAGAGTGAGTTTGGTTGGGGTAGAGAACCCATCACATTTACTTTACTTTATCAGACTCAAAAGAGTTAAATGAGATTGCAATTTGCAAAAAATGAGGCTCGTTTGTGTCTGCCACCTTAACCATGCAAGCTGGTGAGGCTACGATTTAGACAACACCAAGAGGCAATTGAAGAGGTGCTGTGCTGTTATAACTTATAATGGAGTAACTTGCTCATCGCCTAATTAAGGGGGCAAAAGTTTGGATTGAATATTTTTACATCTAATTAATATGAGTTTTTAGATAATTTAATAATATTGACTATATAATATTATCCAAATAATCCAACACGTACGTGTTCTATTAAAAAAAATATATACACCCAAACTGACCAAAGAAAGACTGCTGGGCCTACACAATTTAACAGGCTAGCCCAAGTTACATTTGAAATCAACAATTAATGTGACATATTAATAGATAATTAATTACGTCAAATAATTAATTAATTAAGTGATAAAATTTATAAAAATTTTAAAATTATATAATAAAATATACAATTTAAAAAGTTAAATAATGAAATTCATAAAAATTACAAATAAATATGTGACAAAAATATAATTAAACAAAATTTTCTAACCCTTCCTTTTAAAGTGACTTATTTGTGATATGATTAAATTTGATAATAAATATAAAAAATGATAATAAATATTCATAGACATTGATAAAGGAATAAAACTAAAAAGTTATATGAAAATATTGTCAGTAGACTTATCATAATTTTCAATTCATACTCACCATGTTTTTTAATAAAAAAATTATTGACTTCTCAATTATTTTTCTTTTAATAAAATTTATTCACACATGATGATAATTATAATAAAGATAATAATAATATTAATAACAATAACAATAATAGAAATTATCACAATTGCAATAACTTTGGTAGTTGTGGTGAAAATATTCTTTAAAATTTTAATATGTAAATATTTTGTTTATTTTTTCTCTAAAAATTATTAGCTGATCGATGTTTTTGTTCAGTTTTTTTTTGAAGTTTTCAAAATTTTAATTATAATTAAATTTGAGTGATTAAACATTTAAATAATAAAGATGTAATCACCTTATTTTCTAAAGTGATAAGACCACTTTAAAGAAGTGAAATCCAAAATTATGAGTCTCATTGATGAATATTTTAATATTTGGTTAAAATGCAAATAATAAACATTGTAATTAAAAATAATAGTAAACCATACTAAAATTTATGACAGAAATATAGCACTAAATAATTTAAGAACATTTGATAGTATTTTCCTAAAATTATTAATTATGCGATATATCTTGGTCTTGACGGATCATCAATCATGCTATAACTGCTGAGCTAACAGTGTGGGGTTATTTAAAGTGACTGGTTGTGATAAATGATACCAAAAGTTAATCATGAATGTAGTAATGACTCGCGATAAATAAATAAAAAATAATAATAAAAAGGTGTATTTAAGTCACGGAATTGCTTTGTATTTTGATGGGCTTGAATTGAAGTTACACTTTCTTCCTATTCATTTTTTCATAAGGCCAAGTGCCAACTCATTTATAGTTCACTCCTACTATAAATAATAGAACAATTCAAATTTACTTTCTTTTTCATAATATAACAAAAATTAGAATTAAATATGTTATTACTTTCTAACAAGCAGTAAGTTTTTTTTTGTATTTCTTAAGTTTAAAAAAAATTAGAGCATGTAATTTTAAAATATAGAAAAAACACTTGTATTAAACCTTAAATCCATCAAAAAACAAAATTTACTTATTGATATTTTTGTTAATAAAAAACATTACTATATTCAATAGTTATTACACAGTTAATTTAATATATTTATGTCAATGCAAGGAGTTTAAGAGACTAAAACAATTTTTTTTAATTATAGAAAATAATATTTTTAAATTTAAGAAAAAAATTACTTCAAAATTTGAGCCATTAAAACATGTTTAGGTCTAAAAATTATTATAATACTAGTAACATATTTATTAATACATTACATTTTTTGTTATCGATTAAAATTTATTAAAAAATTATACATTTTAATAGTTTTATTACTTATTTAATGAATCTCTCCTTATTTTGTAATAGTTCTTAATAAATTTTACTTCATCTATTGAAAAAAGACTATGGTTGCAATTATAACACTTAAAAAAATTTCTATGATTGTTGTTACTTTTCAGTGTAATATCAAAAAAAATTTAATTTGTCTATTCATAATTTTTTCAATTATCATAATTAAAATAATATATTTATTGAAAGACGGAAACTATTTAACAAAATTGAATTAAAAATGATATATTTATTATTTTTTATCATTTTGAGCCAGAGAGAATAACAAATAATATAGTATTACTAAAAAGTGTATTAAATAATAAATTGTTAGCCGTCCACTAAAAATTACAATCAAACAATGACACAATTCAATTCAAATTCGAGTTAGATAGAATATTTTTCAATTCAATTTAGTTTTTTGTGCTCAATCAAACTACGGAAAAACATAGTTGGAAGTAACAAACTTTTTATCTGAGTTTTTCCTATTCCTAGTTCGATTTAGTTCAAAGTTCAAGAACAATTTGGTTGAATATAGTGCACTGAACTAAAGAATTAGGTCAATTTAGTTTGAATGAATATTTTTCAATCTGGTTCAATTAAAATAAATATGTTTTTCATTTTCATTTGCATGTTATATTAAATACTCTTTTATTTTATGGCCATTAAATATGATAATCGCTGGTAATTTGTTAGAAAATTAGAACAATTGGCAGTGACAACTGACAAGGAACTGAAGGAAGAGTTCAAAATTGTGTGACTTGTGAATAACATCATACAAATAGGTTAATATGGTAAGGAATTAATGCTTCCAAGTATAGCTTAATTGGTATATATATCCGTCTTTTTATCATAGAACCAAAGCCGCCCTAAAAATAGAATTTAGATTTCTCGTCTTAAGCCATAGATCTCTTCTTTTAAAATAAAAAATAAAAAATAAAAGATAAATACTAGCAAGTGTACTTTAATTTTTTTTAAAAAAATTTAAATAGTGTCGAAAAAAATATTATACTAAAATATTTAACATTCTTTTAAATAAGAATAATTAGTCTATACCAAAAAAAAAACCATATTCATCAATCATGACTCGTAAAAAATTTTCATAGGTGTTTTTGAAAATAAATTTTTTTATAGCAATCAAATTTTCTTTTATCTCAAGAATGTTCGAAATGTTTGATTCTAATCTCTCCATACAAATAATTTTGTGAACAAATGTACAAATCATTCTTAGGAAACAATGTTTTCCACAAATGCTATTTTTAAAATTATAAATTGTACCCTTTTAGTATTTCAACCAAGATAAGTCACTTTTAGACCTTTTATTGAGACATCCACCAGATGATTTCAATCACTACTCTTCGTCCTGATTCAACCTACCAAGTCAGTCTAAACCAACTTAGTAGATGCAGGACTTAGATAACAAATCCAAAGTGCCAATATCTCACTCATAAATACCATTTAATATTGGGGGCCATTAGGGTGAAGACCTTGAGATTTAGGTATGGATTTTTTGGACATGAATAGCCACTAGAGTTCTTTAGAGGTTGTCTTCCATACCAAAATATTAATCAAATATGAGAAATTGATATTTTTAACGCTAAGTTTTTAGAAAAATAATAAATTTTTGTGTATCATAGTATATGGAATTTTTGGGTCAACCCTTAAATCAACTTGAATTATTTATTGTGTCTCTTTCACAAAATCAACTTAAAAAGTAAGCACATTTATAAAATATTTTTGAAAGGATCTTGTGAGCAAATTTAGAGGTGATATCCAACATAATGAGGATATATGTCACAAAATAATTCTCACTTAAACTAGTACAAAAGATAATTCTTCATATTTTTCCTCTAACATAAAAAGGCAAGGATAGTTTTAAAAACGGAAGATATTTTCTTAAAATATTTGCATTTTTATTTCTCCTGTCAACATCAAATATTTTATATTTTATCTTAACAAGATCAACTTAAAATATAGTACTCTATAAGAGATGTAAACCATCTTCTATTCATCAAACATTACTACTAATTCATAGTCATAAATGAATGACACTGAACATGTGAATGCAGGGAATATCCATTTCCTTAGAAATGGTGAATACTGAATACTGTGCATTGGCCTTTTGTTTTCTCTATCCTGTTAAACAAATGGCCACGACTGTTGGCAGAGAGTTAAACGAGGTTTTGGAAGGTGCGTTGCGTTTAGGTCCAAACTCCAAATACGAGATAGAGGCATAAAGCAATTGATCGATATCATTAGCATAGTAGCCTTTTAAGTTTCCTTCATCACCTACCAATTAAAGTGACATGATTCGATAATCTTTGCATTAGTGTACACAGCTAGCTATTGGTTAATGATAACTCAGTAGTTAAGTTGACTTTATCCCACCATGCCCCACACAACTCTTTTCTGTCTTCATTCCTTTCCTCTCAAGTTTTTTCTTTCTTGGCTTTTTTGTTTGTCACCAATTCCCGCACTATTTTATAAAATACTATTATTCTCCTACAGAGGAACCTTAGGCCACAAATAAACTAATTAGGACATATCAACTTGTTTAAAATGCCAACCTCACCAAAATTATGCCCCTGACCGTGATGCTTCAGTCCTCATGAAATGGACTTCAATATACACATATTGGTAAACAAATAAACAATGCCCTTTTTGTTCATCCACTCTACATTGTGTTTTCTCTAGTTGGGGTTTCTTATACAATGCCCCAAATATGGTTAAAATAAATTAATTATGTTGCCCAGAGAAAACTTCATAAAACATTGTTTGATAAATATTATAGAATACTATCTACAATAAATGTAATTAAAGATACTTTAGTAAAGATAATATATATTTTATATACAATTGTAAAAATTAAATATATTTAACTACTTTCTTTAATTTATGGAAAATTGTTTTTTTCTTACTAATCTTTCTAAACTCCATTATTTTGTCCATTAGTTGGAAGTTGAAATGTGGAAGAATTTATGGTCAAAATATTACTACTATATCTATCTTCTATTTTCCCTTTTAGGATGTTAAAAGAGTCAAAACTTAATGGTTGCTCTACGGATCTAAGTAACGTACATTTACTGAATGTGATAAGAAATTTAATAGCTTAGTCCCAAAAATTGACCCCAATCAATTCCAAAGCCATTAATATTACTTTGTGGTCCGTTCATGCGATGAAAGGGTCCAAAAGTCCAAACTTGGAATAAATGTAGTCACACCGTATGCATTAACGGAACATCCTACACATAACCTTCGACCAGCACAATTATAATATCTCATTCAATTCAATTTATGTTACCAATTGAAAAGGTTGAAACAGTTCGTAAGCTAAAGTAACAAGTGGAACTAAAATTCTAAAACATCAAAATCGTCCAATTAATATTTCGATTCTCGTACGCAAACATACTTTATTTGGATAAAAATTGAAGTAATATTGCGGTGAAATGTGAAAGAAAAAAAATATGGAAAACCAAAGGGAATCTACGTAACGGCAGAAAAAAACTGAAAAGGAGGCTGAAAAAAAAGGTTGAGAAAAGAAAGAATGCTTGCTGTTTAGGAAAAAACAGCAAATCAAAGGACAACAATGGTTTTGGTTGAGTATTAATATTATTATTCTCAAATTGCAGTCCAATATTCTTATTTTTTCAGAACAGATAAAATAAAAAAAGGAGAGAGAGAATAATGGAATTTTTTTGAGAGTTTGTTGGAACCGTTGGATCACACTGGTTCTGATCTGTACTTTTGGTTGCTCAGAAGAAGCCATGAATGCTGTAGATCCGGGTGTCTGAGACAACATTCGTCGCATTGTAATTGGCATTTAAGCTCTATTTTTTTTGTTTTTGTTTTTATTATTTTTGTTTTTTAATCTTCGAACATGGTTGGGATCCTAGGAGTGCACTGTATTTGAAGCTATTTGACTTGGGAATTTGGTGAGCCAAGTTCAGCTTCTTTCGCGGTGTGCTTTGAACTTCAATGCTCAAGCTTGAATTTTTCCGGTTGAATTGGCTACCCTTTTGGCGGTGGATGGCAGCGGCGTAATTGGGATCTGCTACTGGCCCATGTTCTAGGGTTTCAGGTTGAGGTTGAGGGGTATCTTCAATATTGGTTTTGAATGCTTATTGCATATGAATGTTGAGGAATTAGGCATTGCGTTTTGAATGGTACAGTTGTATCTGTTACTGTTTTAATATGCCAAATTAAGTTTTGTTTGTTTGGGATATGTGGGTTGTGTTGGTTGACTCAGTCACATTGGGTATGGACAATGAGTAATGAAGCCTCAGGAGAGCTCGTGGTGAAGAAAAATGGGGTTTTGCTGATATTGTTGTTTGGAGATTGAATTTGGTCGAGTTTGAGGTGTGTGTTCATAATCATTGGTTGTTGGTGAGGGTGTTGTTGAAGGTTTTTTTGACTTTGGATTGTATGGAGAACTTGAGGTGACACTTGTTGGACACTGCATTGGTTTGTGAAATGCCACCTTCCCCAGCATTTAGATGCTCTCCTGGTAGGGAGCCAAGACCAGACAGTCACAAGCGTGGACGTAGTCTTGAAAGCGGATTGCTCTTAAGAGAGAAAGATGATGATCTTGCATTGTTCAGTGAAATGCAGTCCAGAGAGAAAGAGAGTTTTTTGCTTCAGCCGTCGGATGAATTGGAAGACTCATTTTGTAATTTTCTTTACTAACATCTTAAGAAGAGAATGTATCTGTTTTTTGGTTGCTATAATTAGGTTACACTCATGCATTTCTCCCCTTTTGTTTTGGATGTTAATTTACAGCGTCAAAGTTGAGGCATTTTTCTGATATCAAGCTTGGGATATCCATTCCCAGTCGAGGAGAATCCAGTGAATTGCTTAATGCAGATGGTGACAAGAATGACTATGATTGGTGTGTAGTCTTTTCTGTCTTTTGAATTTTGCCTTGTTAAATCATGTTTGTGTTACATGATCAAATTTTATGATTTCAATTCTAACTGTTGGCAATTGTGTTTCTTTCTTTCTTTCACATTAATAGTGCACTATTTTGTTGGACAATAATTCTCAAGTTTCTCGTTCACAAAGGTTGAGAATTAGATGTGCATATATTACTTTGCTGATGCTGCATGTCTGTTTTATTCACTTAAAGGTTATTGACACCACCGGACACACCACTGTTTCCTTCATTAGATGATGAACCACCAGAAATAAATGTTGTAAGCAGAGGAAGGCCTCGGAGTAAACCTATTTCCATATCAAGATCATCCACGGTGTGCTTTCAAATCTGTTTTATGCACAATTACATCTTAAATAGAATTTCTTTATTTTTTTTATCCTCCTTATGAAGAATTTAGCTTTTGTTTTACTCATTATCCATATTTTGGTGGATGCGCTCTTTCAGATGGAGAGAAGTTACAAAAGCAGTAGGGGTAGTGCAAGTCCAAATCGTTTAAGTTCATCCCCTCGTTCTGGGAATAATACATTGCAATCGAGGGGAAGGTCTTCATCAACACCAAATTCTAGTCCCACACAAGTTATACGACAAGCTACTCCATCAAGAAGACCATCTCCACCTCCAACTAAGCCCATATCACCTGCTCCTAGGTCTTCCACTCCTACTCCTCGGCGGATCAGCACTGGCTCCAGTAGTCCTGCAGTTTCATCAGGGATTAGGGGAACTTCCCCTGTTAAAACAAGCCGTGGAAACTCTGCTTCACCGAAGATAAGAGCATGGCAAACTAATATTCCTGGTTTATCTTCTGATGCTCCTCCCAATCTTCGCACCTCTTTGGCTGATCGACCGGCATCATATGTGAGGGGTTCATCTCCAGCATCCAGAAATAGTAGGGATTCTACTTCTAAATTTGGTAGGCAATCAATGTCTCCCACTCCTTCCAGGAGCAGCAGTTATATTCAGAGTCATGATCGAGACCAATTTAGTTCACGCAGCAAAGGTTCTGTCATATCTTCTGGTGATGATGATCTAGACTCACTTCAGTCCATCCCAGTGGGTAGTCTAGACCGATTGGGTGCAAGAAGGGGTGGATCATTTTCTAACAGCAAATCTCCTTCAATTTCCAAGAAATCAGCCAAGATGCTGTCCCCAAGTTCTGCTCCAAAAAGATCTTTTGATTCTGCTATCCGGCAAATGGTATTTTGTTTCCTAATCTTTTAACATCGTTTCTCAATCATTTTATAATTTGCTACCAATGTGCTGGCTAGAGACCACGCTATTTAAATCCTGATTATTCCTACTAGTAGGTAGTTGCCCCTGCTCTTCTAGTGACTCTTTTTTACTCATCCTCCATGCACCATGCACACAATTTGTCAATTTCCCTCCTTTATGCATTTTAATTTTTATTTGTGCAATAAATTAGACATTGTTTTTCTGTTCAAATCAAAGCAATTTAAAATGGAAAGTGGAGTCAGCCAACCACCCTTGAGCATTCTAGGCTACCAATGATCAAAACTTTGATATAATATTTGCTTTATTTATCTCTATATAATCTTAGGTACAATGCTATGTTTGATTCTTCTGGTGCATGTTTTCTTTCCTCCGAGTATATTTTTAAACTTTTGATTCGACAACTATTCAAGTAAATGACTTCAAGTTAAGTCATCAATGAGTTTGTTAAGTTGCATAAAAATCGACATGCATGCACCTACTTATTATAACAACGTTTTCTTTTTATTGGTTTACACATTTTCTGTTCTCAGTGGTAGAAAGACTGATGAGTAGTCAAGAGTTTTTCTTGTAAAATCTAGACTTGTTCAGTCATCCCTATTCCCCTCCGCTTCTGCCATGATCTTTTCTCTTATATCTTTAAATGGTTGGGATCAAACTGCTTACTTTTGTTCATTAACTTACAATGCTGTGCAGGATAGGAAAAGTCCTCAGAACATGTTCAGGCCTCTTTTATCAAGTGTGCCAAGTACAACCTTTTATGCCGGAAAAGCAAATTCTGCACAACGTTCCCTGGTATCTAGAAACTCCTCTGTCACAACAAGCAGCAATGCAAGCTCTGATCATGGTACAAGTTTTGCACCAGATACTGAAGGGAGTGACCACAATCAAGATGATGCGGCTAGTGAAAGTGAGAAGATATTGTACACTGATATTCATGAAGAAATATTTTCCTTTGATAAAGTTGATGTATTAAATGCAAGCACTGGGCACGAGATCAATGATGAATCAGTTGATGTCCTGCACAATAAAACTGGAGGCCCTATGATTGCTTTAGGTCCCACTGAATCTGAAGCTTCTATTTATCATGGTATTGACGAAGAATTCAATGAAAGTTTAGAAACTTCCCATGTCATAGGTGACATTTCTGAAACTAGTGGTTTTGAGAATACAGCAATCTGTTCTAATTGTGGTTGCCCTCTTGAGGCCACAGATCAAACTGAAAGGAATCTTAGACTATGTTCAGAATGCAGGAGGAAAACCACATTGTTGAGACATACCATTCCAAAGGCAACTTTGGCAGTTTCCAATGACATTTTAGCGATTTCCACAAACGTTCCTTCTGGAGAAAAACCATCTGATGTAACAGACCAACTAACAGTTGTGTCTCAACTGCCTCAAGAGGCTGATGTGGGTAACATGAGGTACCCCTTTGGTGAACCAGATGCTGAGGAAACTCAGGAAAGTCAAACTTTTCCCGGTGAATTTATTGAGGACCACTCACAACAAAATCCTCTCTCAAGTTCACCAGTGGATAGAAGTGTGCAAATACCTACCAATCAGCTAGAGGTGGACCAGTCTGGGGCTGATTACAAGCCTGATAATCAATCTGGGGATCAGCAGTCGTATCTTTCCAAAGATCGCTCAAATTTGAAAGTGGACCTCTTGGAAGGCACTGGCATTTCTGTACTACTGAAAAGGTCAAGCAGTAGCAAAGGACCTGTAATTCAGGGCAGGACTTTTACTGCCTCAACACTATCTTATGATGATCTGTCTTTCGCAAGAAACAGCATTAACAGTATCAGAAGTTCAACTGGGCGTAGCAGTTATTCCACCTCATCATCCGTTGATTTCAGCTCAGCAAGACATTCCGATTTTCGTGTCCAAAGGCAGTCGAGTGGCAGGAAATTGGATGTAGACTATGGATATGATGTAAGGATCAAACCTCCAAGCCCTGGTTCATCTTTTTCTGGAATGTCAAACCATTCTTACCATGGATTAAGTTTTGCTACACAAGAAACTTCTTCTGGCAATACAGAATGTGGCAACTTGGAGGATATACCCCAAGATCTCCGAGACATGCAAGCTTCAGAAAATGCAGTTGCAGATGTGGTTGATTCTTCTTCTATGGGTTCGATTGTTGTCAAGGAAGTTAAACTCGAATATTCTGATCATGGTAGAACAACTGATGCTTGTAGCTCAGAATTAGTAAGCCAGGTTACTGGTGTTCAGCCTGACAACATTTCAGTGGCATCATTTCCAAATCATGGGAGTAGTATTTCAAATGATAGTATCGAAGACCATCCAAATAATGTAAGCTGTGTCTCAAATACAGAAACATCAGTTAAGGATCCAGAGTCATCCTTTGATGAGAAACATGATATGGAGAACTCTAATGTTGATGGACTGAATGCTTTGATAACTACCAACACTTCTACAATTCAAGAATCAGAAATAGAAGGGGAACACAGTTGTCAAAATGATACTCGTGTGGTGGATGATGATCCGTCGCTGGTATCAAAGAGCCCCATCAATGAATTTCAGGAACATTCTATTCCAAATTCTTCCAGTGATTGTCTTGCATCTTCTGTTTCAGAGCTCAATGCCTCCGAGTTCTCCCATGGCATAGGTATGATGCTTGTTGCATGAAATTTCAAACAAGATATTGCCAATGATGATTGAGATGAAAATTTTCTATAACAATCTTTTATTATTCTCGTGTCTCTTTAATGCATTCATGTATTCACATAGCACAGAGTTTTTCATATGTTAATTTTGGGCAAGTTAAAGTGATGCACATTTATAGAAGAATGACCGTCTATTCTAGGTTCACCTACTTTATCTGATATAAATAGTTTGAGCTACTCGAATTTCATGGTCTTGATTTCTAAGCGATAGAGTTAGGATGCTTGAAAGGTTGTTTCTTGACATGTATTTTGCAATAGTGATATTAAGTGATGCGCTGATATGTTAGGTCCAGTTAGAATGCCTTTATGTTGGCTTCAGATAGTCAGCAGCAATTTGGTAGTGTAGTTTCTAACTTTGCAGTTAAGAATTGTGTATGGATTAACTCGTGTTTGGCAAACGCTAACCACTGCCCTTAGGGAATCAAAAGTGGAAACTGTTTTATTACAAAGTTTGTCAATGCACTCTCCTGTGATTAACAATGCGACACCGAGGTAATTTTCAATAAGAACTTTTTATCTGCTGATTCCATTACCAGCGAAATTTCTATTTGTTGATTCCATCACCAACGTCCTTAGGGCCCATGTTAACGGAAACCTTATTTTGCTATCATTTTTATGAGCTTTCTGAAATCTGAACCAATATTTTACTATTAGTGGGGGAGGATAGGTTAAATTCAGTTTTCTATTGAAAAGAGATTCTGTTTCTCTATGTACATGGTTTCTTTAGTGCTTGTAATCTATTTTATCTGCTGAAGCTTTATTTGGAGAAAATATTAGTACTTGGAAAATTTCTGACATATTTCTTTGTTTTATGCCAGAGGGATCCACAGTTACAGTGGAGTGTCAAGATGGAGGGAACACTAGAAGCCTAACACTTGATGAGGCAACAGATACTATACTATTTTGCAGCTCTATCATCCATGATCTTGCATATCAGGCTGCAACGCTAGCAATGGAAAAGGAACCCTCAGAACCATTGGAAGGTTCTGAGCCGACAGTGACTATATTGGCGAAACCCAATTCCGATAGAAAGGATTCTCGGAGCCGAACTTCTGGCAAGCATGGTATGAAACCCCAAAAGGCCAGGCCAAAGGTGGTGGAAACTGATGTAAAATCAAAATCCCCTTCCAAGACTGAGAATGATGAAAACGTTGATGAGTCTTTGACACGCAATGTTGGCCTTCCTAACAAGGTAGACAGCATGAAGCCCCCTAATAAGCTTGAATCAAAGTGTAATTGCATAATAATGTGAGAGTGCAAAGTTCAGATTGCCTTTATAATTTGTGCCAACATTTCTTCTCTTCTTGTTGGCATATATATACACCAGAGCAGAGCTTAGCCAAATGCTTGCGCGTTTGTGGCTTTAGGTTTATGGCTGTTTGGGATAATAGCCAATTGCAATATGTTGGTTCCAATATATATTGTAAGATATGGCACTTTGTGTTTGACATAATTGTAAAGTTATTTTTTTCCCTTCCTTTTTTGTTGGTAGGCCATTAATTTGATGCATTTGGAGGATTTGTGCTTCTCCAGTTGCCCCATTCTTGTTATTTGATTTCCATGTCAATCAAGTGATCCATCAATGGAAGTGTGAAGTAGAACTCATTCATATTCGTTAAGATTGTGAAAAGCATACTGATTTCTTAGGTAGAAGTTTATCCATGTGCATCATAACCCCCCCCCGCTCC